AATAGGTATACAACAGAATCATCTACAAGTCGTTTGGAATTCAATTCTTATAAAACTTACCTCTTTCCACGGTGAATGTAAAAACGAGAAATACTATTTTACTACATTTTTCATCGTTTTCCTACAAAATTAATTTATCGAAACACATGAGATAGAAACATCGCTTAATTTAGTATGTTGCAAAACTCAAAATGATATAATTTGTGATAAAACAAAGTGTAAGTTTCATCGTATTTATGTCCAAGTGTAAGTTTCATCGTATCAATTACTTTTTGGAATTTTGTTTATCTCTGGATCAGTGTGACGTCATTTTAGATATATAAGCATACAGTGCAATACAATTTGAAAATAATGATTTAAACCGTAATGATGACAATATTTTTTTTTCTATAAAAACTTTAGTGTATTTTTGTGTGAATTTTTAATAGCGTACGATTGTATATATAGATATAGTGAATAACCAAACCTACTCGATTATTGTAGTCAAACCGATATCTTTGACTCCCCACGAAGAAATTGACTAAAAAAATGACTACAACGATGATCCACTTGAGACATAAATCATAAATTCTCTTAAAAAAATTCCACGAACAAAATTACAGCTCGTAAAGTGAAAACCAGCTTGCTCAAAGACCAAAGAACGTTTAATTTTGTAAAATATCATATTTAGTTAAAAGTTAACTGGTAAATAAATAACAAAATTCAGAATAATAAGAAGTCTATATAGATAATTAAATATTTTGTTGACAAAGAAATGAAATTCAGAATAATAAGAAGTCTATATAGATAATTAAATATTTTTAAAATAGTATAATTGAGAAGCTCAAGTCAGTTGGTCAATATATACGAAGAGTTAGTTAAGAGTTGTTCACATTTCAATTTGTAGCCAAATTTGTAACGTTTCCTCTTTGGCCGCAATTGCGTGTAGTTGCACCTATGCACACACACCATAATCCTATTATTATATTAGTATTTGCAAATTAATTTTCGTGAATGGAGCCATGACGTTAACTTTCAGCTGCGGAATTACTAAAATACTTTTAATTAAAATCTATTATTAAATCTTCTGAATTTCCTTTTTTAATTATTTCATAATTTCGTTTTTTATATAAAAAGTTCATTATTTCCTTATTAATTTCTTTATTAAATATTGATAATTATTTTTTTTTAATTATTTCACAATTTCGTTTTTTATATAAAAGTTCATTATTTTCTTATTAATTTCCTTATTAAATATTGATAATTATCCTTTTTTTCTTCGATTTATATCTTTATATTATTAATTGAGAAGTACATGAAAAAATTATGACCAAAAAACCAATCTAATTATAAAAAGAAAGTGTTTGGCAACAGATTTAATGAGGGTCAATTTAGTACATTGTAATGTTTGGATACAAGAATAAGAGAAAAAACTATTTGGATAAAAGAATAAATGGAAAATATTGTTTGGATACAAAAATAATAACTTAAAACAAACCGGTGTTTTAGAAAACTCCCGTTTTCCAGCTCTCAAAAATCTGCAAAAAAAAGACTTAACATAATCTAACAATAATACAAAATCGATAGAATATGTTTTTTGGATTTTCGGATTTTTATAGACAAGTTTGGGTTTGGGTGAAAATCTTAAGACCTAATTTTATAGAGATATAGAAATTGTTCGGGTGCTTTGAAATTTTCTCTTCGGGTTGGGTTTGAGTTTTTTTTTTCAGTTTAGGGTTTTCCGGATTTTTGGGATTTCGGGTTTTCGGGTTTAGATATATTAAAAAAGTTTGAGTATTTTAAAATTTTGATTAGGGTATTTGGGTCGGGTTCCGGGTGAAAAAGTTTCCAGAATTTTTTTGTTCAGTTCAGGGTTTTCAAGATTTTTTTTTATTTCAGATTTTTGGGTTTAGACATATTAAAAAAGTTTGAGTTTTTATACTTTTTGAATAAGGTTTTCTTGGTCGGGTTCGGAATTATGGTTTAAATTTTCTACACAAAACCAGAAAATCACACCGCACAAACGTGCGGGTACTCTACTAGTTTATCACTTAAATAAATATCCTAACTATCATATTACCGCACCACTTTTCTGGAAGAAATCAAATAATTAGGTATTTTAAAAAAACTCTAGATTTTACAACCGACTTAGTCCTATTTAACAAGCAAAATAAACAGAATTTCGTTTCTTCTTTTTCGTGTTCTAAATTCTTCGATTCCATATTTCATCTTTTGTCATGTAGGTTTATAGTTATTGCTAGATCTTAGTTGTATTAGATCTAATGTTTAACTGATTATTCGTTATTTTCTGGAAATTTTATTCAAAGAATCGCATCTAACTTCTACTTCTTTTACCTTTATAACAGTAAATTCCAGGTTTGTTAGCTAATTGAGTCAAAGAAATCAACTATGGTACCAACTCAAAAAAAATGCATTGACAAAAATTAGTGGTATGTACATCTTTCGTTTTTATTTTCAACTTAAATCTTATGAAACCCTAATTTGAATAAACTTATCTAAAAAGATTTTGTAAAATGTGGGTTTAGGTGTGCGGATTGGGGGGGGGTTGTTATTTGGTAGTGGTGTTACAATGTGGGGTTTGGGTTATTTAGGGGGTGGTGTTACACTGTGGGTTTGGGTTTAGGGTGTAGGGTTTATATTGATGGGGTAGGGTTTAGTTTTTGGTGTATTTTAAAAAAACTTGAATTATTACAGAAGAATTTCATAATAAAAAAATCATTTATTTGAAATTTATATCTACTTTCAAAATTACATTCACAAATAGAAAAAAAAACTAAAACAACTAAAGAAAATCCAGAATTGAAAGATAACAAAACTAATAAATTTTTAAAAGACCTCAACTATATAAAGATAGAATCTATTTCAAAAATATTGAAAATTTTAACTATCGAAATGAATTGGTAGGTGATATGCAAGACACAAACAAGACATAATAGATACATAAGTAAAAGAAAAGAAAACAGTGAAAAAGAAGATGAAAAATTTAGAAAAGAAAAAGAAAAGTCGAACATGAGGAAAAAGAAAGGAAAGAAGAAATAATGGAATGTGAAGAAAATTCCAAAACAAATGAAGAATATTACGTAGAAGAACAAGAAAGAGAAGATAAAAATAAGACACCTCAAGATTACAAAAATAAGAAGTTTGCGAAAACAAAAACGATGAATACAATAAAAAGTTGTACTACTTATATTATTTAAATCTTTAATTAATAATTGTATTTAAAAAATATTGTACCCGCACAAGGTGCGGGACAACCACCTTGTTTTATAAAAAATCAAATAATGGTCGCAGTTGTTCATAAAAAAAAAAACCAAAAACAAGTATTACGAGTAATACCATTATTACAGAGCTTTTACCAATTAATTTGATAATTTAGGAGTAAATCCTAGACCTATGGTTAGGTCCAGACTAATCCACTGGGGAGGTACAGCCCACGGATAGACCCTCTCTCCGGATATTCAAATGGGCTGTAAGTAGAAGTCATATCCGTGTAGATGTTTAGAAATAATCGTGAAGTAGTTCCTTCCAGCATAGTTTGAATTCACAATCTAGATGTAAAAAGGAGCTTATCCTTACCATTGGTCTGGATTCATTTGTAAAATTATACTATACATATAAACTCATGTGTCCATTATAGCACTGCCCATTTATGATTTACACAACAAGAAAAATCACCACTAGACATTTTTAACAAGCAACAAACTTTGATACCATTAACTAAAATCCATTTTAAAATTAAAAGAACTCAATATTGATCACCAAAATTGTTTATATTGCAAAAAAGCTAATGCACTCATAATATTATTTAATGAACAACAATATATTGTTCACAAGTGATATTACACTATTTAAAATCAACGTATCTACATACATACTAATACGAGATCAAGGCAGATGACTCAACTTGCAACACAAATTATTAAAAAGAAAGATTTTGCACATAGTCTAAAGAAGTATATTAATAATTCAAACTTCATACGTAATCGTATACTAACTATTTGACTAATATTACTGAATAATTTTTTTAATCTTCTTCTATTTTATACGCATTTGGATTCAACTAAAAATGAATTCACACCATCGATGCAATATCAGTTGAAAAAAAAAGAATATGATATCGGGAACATCAAAGATACACTTGTCTTAATATACGTCTAAATTAGCCCTGGGCATTTCGGAACGGGAATCCCATTCTCATCTTTACCTGTTTAAAATTTCCTGAACTTTTCGGGAATGGCAATTTGCAATTTCCCGTTCGGAAACATTTATTTTATTCAAACGGGTAAGGGAAAGGTTTGGGAAGGGTAAGGGATTTCCTGATTTTCCCGTTTAAAAAATAAAAAGTTAAAAATTAGATATTTTTTCTTAAATATCCCAAATTTTCCCATATTTTCCCGTATTTTCTCATACTTTCCCGTATTTTCCCATAATTTCCCATATTATTTTCAATTTTCCCGATTAATTAAGACTTCGGGTATTTTTTTTTGATTCCCAAATTTCCCATTCCCTTCCCATTCCCGTGATTTCCCATCCCGTTATAATAAGGGAATGTTTCGGGAATCATATTTGGTTTTCCGAATTTCTCATTCCCGTCCCAAACCCGTCAATTTCTGTCCCAAAACCCGTAATGCCCAGGGCTAGTCTAAATAAATGGAATAATATTACAATACATCTCTTTTTATTTTATTTGTCGACTGATAAAATACATTTAAATTTTGTTTTTGTTATATAAAAACAACAAAGAATCGTGTACACATGGTTACTTACATGTAAAGATCCCCTTCATCCCAAAGATCCCTTCTTCTATAACCAGAATCTTTCCTCTTTCCCTAATCATATCAAAGCTTCGTAACTATCTCTCTTTATCTCCCTCTTGGCTCTTGTCATATATATATACACAGTGGTCATATATATATAAGCACCCTGTTCTCTTCACTACATTACAAAACCACGAAAAACAAAAAAGGTTTTTATTTTTTCATTTTCTCCTGTGATCTCTAATGGAGCAAGAACTACCTTCTACTAATAGACCCAAGCCGAAGATACTAAACCGGCTCAACACGTATGTTGGTTCGAGCCGGGTTGGGAAGCGGTTCAAACTCGCCGAACGGAATTCAACTTTCACGACGGAGCTCCGTGCTGGCACCGCGACTTTCCTCACCATGGCTTACATCCTCGCGGTCAACGCATCCATCCTCTCCGACTCCGGTGGAACTTGCTCTGTTTCCGACTGTGTTCCCCTCTGCTCAAACGCAACGATCCCACCTTCCCAGTGTACCGGACCGGGTCTCCGACTGATCCAACCCGATGTGACATGCAAATTCGACCCGGTTAATCCCGGTTACGCCGCCTGCGTTGAAGGAATTCGGAAGGATCTCATCGTCGCCACCGTAGCTTCGTCTCTAATCGGGTGTGTGATCATGGGGCTGATGGCGAATCTCCCTCTAGCTCTAGCTCCGGGAATGGGAACAAACGCTTATTTCGCTTACACCGTCGTCGGATTTCACGGATCCGGGTCAATCTCTTACCGGACAGCTCTCGCCGCCGTTTTCATCGAGGGGCTGATATTTCTCTTCATCTCCGCCTTGGGTTTCAGAGCAAAGCTCGCGAAACTCGTCCCTAAACCCGTCAGAATCAGCTCCTCCGCCGGGATCGGACTCTTTCTCGCCTTCATCGGATTACAGAACAATCAAGGAATCGGTTTAGTCGGTTACAACCCTTCCACTCTCGTCACCCTCGCCGCCTGTCCAACCTCGTCGCGAGCATCGCTAGCTCCCGTTATAACGTCGGCTAACGGAACCGTAACTTTACTCGCCGGAGGAGTAGTTTCCGGCGACATTATGTGCCTCAACGGACGGATGGAGAGCCCCACGTTCTGGCTAGGGATCGTCGGGTTCGTGATCATCGCTTATTGTCTGGTGAAGAACGTGAAAGGAGCGATGATCTACGGGATCGTCTTCGTAACGGCCGTTTCGTGGTTCCGTAACACCGAGGTAACGGCGTTTCCCGATACACCGGCAGGAGACGCCGCTCACGAGTATTTCAAAAAAATCGTCGATGTACACGTCATCAAGCGCACCGCCGGAGCTTTGAGCTTCTCCGGGATAAGCAAGGGGCGTTTCTGGGAAGCTCTGGTGACTCTTCTCTACGTGGATATCCTAGACACGACGGGGACGCTTTACTCCATGGCGAGATTCGCCGGATTCGTCGACGAGAAGGGAGATTTCGAGGGGCAGTATTTCGCGTTCATGTCCGACGCGTCTGCGATTGTGATCGGATCGCTTCTGGGAACGTCTCCGGTGACGGTGTTCATCGAATCGTCGACGGGGATACGGGAAGGAGGGAGGACGGGGCTGACGGCGATTACGGTGGCGGTTTATTTCTTCCTGGCGATGTTCTTCACGCCGTTGCTGGCTTCGATTCCGGCGTGGGCGGTTGGTCCGCCGTTGATACTGGTGGGGGTGATGATGATGAAGTCGGTGACGGAGATCGATTGGGAGGATATGAGGCAGGCGATTCCGGCGTTCGTGACGATGATTCTGATGCCGTTGACGTACTCGATCGCGTACGGGTTGGTCGGAGGGATTGGGACCTACATCGTGCTGCATCTGTGGGATTGGGGAGAAGAAGGTATGGTGAAATTCGGGTTTTTGAAAAGGAAAGTTGAGGAAGAAGACACTGTCAATGTCAATGATAATAATGGAGTTGTGAAAGTTAGCGAAACTCCTACTGTTTAGGATTTCTTTTCGATTTCACAATTTTGTTACTATTGGTTTATTTTCTAGGAAGAAAGAATGAGTGAATGGATTATTGATTTATTTCTCTTCTAGTTTTTTTGAAAAGAGAGTTGTATAAAAGGGGAGAAAAAGAAAGAGAAATGTAAATGATATATTATAGCGTATTCAATCGGTTTTGTAATAAGCGTGGGTTTTTGTTTGTTACACATATATAATTGAAACATACTAATCAAGACATCAAATCGGACAAGAATTTCACTGAGAAGGAAGAAACCTTGGACGATGGTAGGTTCAATACAGAAACAAAAAGCAAATGAATCCAAAAGGAGTATATTGAATAGAGAACAAAGGGACATTTTAGGGATAATCTGAACAAAAAAAGCCTAAAGAAGTCAAATATTGGATAGAACAAAAATGATTATGGGTGTGATCACTGATCACGGTTATGAATCTTTGATGATCTAGCTCTCGGTTTGCTCTCTCAGCCGCCTAATGGTACTCCTAACCGTCACAGCACTAGCAGTACTGTCAAAATGAAACACAATCCAAAAACCAAAATCAGAACAATACTCAAAGAGAAATGCAGAACCAGAGTGAGCAAACAAAATTGAATCTTTCTTACTTCATGGTGTATGCACCGCCTGCTTTCACTTTGCCGCAATCTTTGCAACCCCAAATGCCAACAGCTTTCCTCTTCACGGCGTACTGTATCAATTCATCACAAATCACCAAAAGTCTTGTCACTAAAAACGAAAGATAAAGACTCACTTCGTATTGAATTTCAATAATAATATTTTAGTTAGGAAGATGATGGTGAAAAGGGTACCTTTCCGCAGAACTCGCAGAAGTACTTGCTGTGCTGACTCACTTCCATCTTCTTGATCTGCTTCCTAAGACTTGCACCATATCTTGTACCTACGCAGAAACACAATTTCAGCAGATTCAGTCATTATTTCAGAGACACTTCACTTCTCTGCTTTTAATTACACACACGTTTTACAGTAATAGTACTGACCATATTTGCCGACAATTCCAGCCTTCTTCGTTCTTTTGGTCTGAAAACACGAAAACACATATAAGTTGATAGAATCTTAAAATCTAAACACAAAACAAGCTCAAATAATAAAATTGAAACCACATTCCGGAAAACATAAACAGGTGATGGATCAATCTCCACCAAATCTACCAAGCAACGTTAACTTAATCACTATCACTATCTTTATCTCATGCTATGGAATAATGAATCGGAGAGATCGGATTGTAAACGACACAGAAGATCAACTCACCATTTTCACCGGTTTAGGGAGAGGGAATGTAGACAATTGGCAGCTGCTTCAGCGATTGCTTTTTTTTTTTTTTTATAAGCACAGTCATACAATAATTAGGTTTTATTTGATGGGCTATAATAATAGTGAAGGCCCATTGGATAAAAGCCCAATTACAACAATGTCGTTATCATTCGTGCCAAAGGTTGTGTGACCATTTTCCAATGTTGCATCAGGTGAAGAAGAAGAGATAGAGAGAAAGAGAGAGACGATGAGTGTCATCGGAATCAAGAGCTGTATTTTCTCGGCGACTAGATACTCCCATGAAAACGATAAACCTTCTTCGCTCAATTCCATCGGTAAATCCTCATTCGAACAAAGATTCCCCAGAAATCTGCGCAGCAAAGTTGCTCCAATTTCCTGCAAAATCTCGGGGAGTGAAGCTAGAGAGAATCAAGGAACGAACGGAGTTTCTCTGAGCTCCAAGAACAAGATGGAAGATTACAATACAGCTATGAAGAGACTGATGAGGAGCCCATATGAGTATCATCATGATCTGGGTATGTAAAAAAATTTCCAATCCATTTTTCCCCAAAATTTCACTGATTCTCAGATACGATTTCGTGAAATTCTCCTGTTTCCAGGCATGAACTATACACTGATAAGAGACGAGCTAATCGTTGGGTCACAGCCACAGAAACCAGAGGACATAGATCACTTGAAGAAAGAAGAGAACGTTGCTTACATTCTCAACTTGCAGCAAGACAAGGACATCGAGTACTGGGGAATCGATCTGGATTCCATTGTCAGTAGATGTAAAGATCTCGGAATCCGTCACATGAGAAGACCCGTAAGCAACAATTTTCATCACGTTTTCAAAAAAAATGTGGAATCATGAGAATGTTATAACAATTGTGGTTACGAATTTCTATCAGGCAAAAGACTTTGATCCGCTTTCGTTAAGAAGCCAGCTTCCAAAAGCTGTTTCTTCATTGGAATGGGCTGTTTCTGAAGGTAAAGGAAGAGTCTACGTTCACTGCACAGCCGGATTGGGGAGAGCTCCGGCGGTTTCGATTGCTTATATGTATTGGTTCTGTGACATGAACGTAAGTTCAAAAAACTCTCTCAGACTCCAAGAAAGTTTCTGCGATCTGATTCTGCTTGTTTGTTTCACTCTCGAAACAGCTGAACACGGCTTACGACGCGTTGGTGTCGAAGCGGAAATGTGGGCCTAACAAAGGAGCAATACGTGGCGCGACGTATGATCTGGCGAAGAAGAATGATGAGTGGAAAGAGCCGTTTGAGAATCTCCCTGAGAATGCGTTCGAGGACGTTGCGGATTGGGAAAGGAAGTTGATTCAAGAACGTGTTCGAGCCATCCGTGGAACCTGAAGAAAATCTGTAGAGGATATGTAATTGTTTCAAATAAATATCTTAGACTTTTGTATATTCTAAAGCTACTGAATGATGATTACAAATCCTTGTCGTCACATTTTACTTTGGGTTAATAAGAAGTCTACATATTTTACAGTAATTATAAAATTTGGTTAAATGATGGCACAGCTCAACAGTGACGCATTTAGCCATGTTCTTACAACAACATTTTGACTTTGGTCTTCATTATAATTGATTATGAAAATTGGGAGATTTTTCGTAACAGAGACATTGGCTCATTCATGTAAATGAAGAAATTGTTCAGTTTTTGACATAAATCAGTCTTTGGTATGTGTTCTGTTGCATATGGTTAATGTGCCTTTGGCCCTACGACCGACTTTCTTTATCGGTACTACTATAACGTATAAACTCCGCTTTTTCTTTACCTATAAAATAACAAGAAAATAAGTCTGCTTGCTACGCTTAAGAGAACCAAATTTTTTAACTATATCGTGAGCAACCGCAAAGTCAATAAAGTCCACCGCAGCAATAGCCAATGGATGACATTCGTGTTATCTACCAGTAAGGTTGAAAATTGCTGGATCGGGCTAGTGAAGGAGACGAAAGTTACTCCATGTTCACACACGCGTTGATATATAAATAAGTACAAGTGTAAAAGCATGTGCGTCCGTGTGACGGTGAGAGAGTGTGGGAGAGACTTGGGGAACAAGAAGAAGGACACGGTCAAAACTGACGGTGCTTCTTTCTTTTATTGGTAGCAGTTGGATTGGATTGGATTGGATACTCCATTAATGAATAAAGTGTACAATAGTACAATACTAGTAGTATTAACTTCTTTTTAATTTTTCATTTAATATGCGCAATGATATAAGATAATTAATTTGACAAACAGTATCGAAGAAGATGTTTTCTTCAGTTCTTTTCTTTCGGAGTATTGTTTTTGCTCATATCACATATGAAAATGTTTGTGGATAGTTTGGTGATCCCATACGATGAACTATACGGTCAACAAACATATTACATTCTTGTTAGTATTGTGAAACTTATTCAAATTTTCACAAATAATATAGAGTGTAAGAGTGTATTACATCTAGGGGCACTTATCTGAGTTTAATAACGCGTAAAGACACTTACTGCTGGAGAGGCACTTTTCAAGTTTTGGAGCTTCTCAAATCCCCGAAATGTCCCTCGGCTTATTAGTCACCACTTATTTTCTTCATTTAGGAAAGGTAAAAACATTATCACAGGGGATGTTCAAGTTATTTGATTCATTGGACCGAAGCATCCACGTACTATTTGTCCATATGGATTACATCCCATGTTTATAGTTACCACATCGATTTTCAGAGGAAGATGTGGGTATCGTTGTGACACCGAGTAATGAGTAACCATCACATTTTTTTGAGAGATTCGATTCAAACGGTAAAGGGAACGGAGTTTACGATGTGTTCGGCGTTAGCCCCACCGCTACGGAGGATTAGTTTAAGAAAGCTTACTACATCAAGTTTCTCAAAGCTAAAATCTGATTCAATTATTCTTATCATTTCTGATTTCGGTGAATTTGAGCTAAACTCGAATCTGGGGAGTTTCGGGTCTATTTGAGCTAATATCGGGTCGATTTGGGATAGGCACCTGATTGGTTGATTTTATGGATTTGTGTGACTATTTAGCGTAAGAGCTCATCAGTGCCTCTCGTGTTTGTGACGAACAAAAGTTCTCGACTTAGACATTACAAAATGCTGATTGTGGGCTTCGTTTGTCTCGTACAGGGACGCAAAGTACATCCAGGAAAAAACCCCAGTGATCCTCAGACTGCTCATAATTTCCAGGCAAGTTACGATTTTGAGAAGTAATGTTTAAATTCAGGCTCATAATTTTCAGGCTGCTCTATAGCTTTTAGATGACTGATAGGTTGATGTTGTATCGTTGTAACACTGAGAAATGAGTAACCATCACATTTTTGCGTTAGAATTGGTCAGGATCCCTAAGGAATATGTGTCTGGTTTTTGACTGAAAATGGATACACCCGTAGTGGACAAAGGGATATGGATATGGTTGTTATCATTGGAACAACTCCATATGTTTTTGGCTCCAAATCTATCTAGAGGGAAAATCAAAACGAAAGAGTACTGGCCACACGATCAACTTTTTGAGCAATTATGTTCTTCCTAATCGTGTGGTTGTCTCCTAGACAAGTGTTTTGGTTGGTGAATAACTTTTTGAGTTGTGTACGGAATGGGTAAACTTTAAATCCTCTGATATACATATTTGTTTCCAGACTCTGCAGGAGACGTTCCGAAGATTTCTGTAGAAAGCATGACAGAGCACTGTCTTGTAATGTGTGGTGATTGGCGCTGCTCTGCCTCTGGTGGATGGGATTTCATGGTGGACAAGACCTTGATGTCTCGAGTAGTGTCTGTTTCTGTTGGGATTAGTCTCGTTGAGCTAAAAGAACGTGTTGTTGCTGAGTTCTTCCCACGAGGAAGATCCGCTTTGACTGTTGCTCTCAGTTACTGGCCACCTAATACCGCGGAGCTTGCTACCGGGATTCGGACTCCGCCAGTCCTTCTCACTAACGAGGGTAGTATTTCGTTTTTCTTTAAACATTACAACGTAAACCACTCGATGAATCTGTTTGTTACTTTCGGGTACGAGACCCCCGATAATCTTGAAGAATGTTATATAACACCAGGCGAGGGGAAGAAAAGGCCGAACATGTTCGATGATTTGCAAGGCCATGCTAAGAAGGTGTGTCCTGTCTCTGCGGGTGTTAGTAGTTGTTCTACCAGGGTTGGTGCTAGTGTTTTGGTTGGTAAACAGTTTTCATTCGAGGGTTTGGGAGACTCTAGATGCAAAGGTTCTGACAAGGGAGACTCCATAGGTGTCTCAGGAGGCTATGGGTTTGACAAGAGCAAGACGAATAGCAAAGGTTCTTCTTCCGGTTTCAGAAATAGCGATGATGCATTTGGAAGAGACTCGAAGTTTATGGAGGACGTTTTTTTTGGTGATCCTTTGGTAGGGGAAAACACTGAATTTGTGGATGGTTTAATCGCCTCAGATTCTGATGACAGCTGCGGCGAATTGCCTTCTGAAACGTGTGATGTACGTCCAGTGGGTTACGACAAAGAGTTTTGGATGCCAATGATCAACGATCCTTTTGGCGGGTCAGATGCTGTAGATATTATGTGTCCTCCTAGCGAAGGTTTCGATGGCAAAGCTGCTGCAGCTGGGAAACGCCGGCAGGTACTGTGTTCTACTAACGATGCGTTTGATCACTACATTGTTACGGGTGGTTCATCACCGGATGTTAAGGCTGAAGGCGATCCTCCAAGAACCTCTGTTCCTGTTGGTGGATTCGACTACGGGCGTTCATTTGTAGCTGACCGTCGCTCACTTGATCATATAGATGACGAGGAGTTCGACATCCCACCACTTTTCGACGACACAAAATATGTGAGCGACAATATCCCTGATTTGGATATTGATGATGGTGGTGGCGGTATATTCGAAGGTAGAATGTTTAACAGCAAAGAAGAGTGTCAAATTGCTTTGGCGATCTATGCAATCAAAGAAATGTTTCACTTCAGACAGTCTACAACTAAGAGGCATTACTTCATCGCTACCTGCGTAGACCCGCGTTGTGAATGGAGAATCCGTGCAAAAGAAGTAGGGGATTGTGGTTACTACGAGATACAGAAAGCCTCCCTCGGCCACAGTTGTTGTATAGACTCTCGCAATGCATATAAGAAGAAGGCATCTTCTCGTGTTATCGCTGCTGTGTTCAGAGCTAAATATGGCGATCCGGAGAAAGGCCCTAGAGCATCTGAGTTGCAGCGGATGGTTTTGGAGGAGTTACGTGTTCATGCTTCTTATATGAAATGTTACCGAGCTAAGGAGAAAGCAAGCGTTGATGTTCGAGGAACGGAAGAAGATCCAAAGAAGTATCGCCGCCCGGCCACTCGTACAAGGAGAAAGAATGCCGTAGATGAATCATGTCTTTGAGATATTTGACTTTCTGGTCCGCCACTTCGTCGGCCCATCGCATTATTTCCGGATCAGTTTCCGTGAAGTAAGGAACAACCTCGAGCTGCAAAAATTTGAAAGTTGGTTTAGTGGTAGTATGGGCAAACACAACAAAAGGTGTACTCACAGAGAAGAACACGTACCGATTGATGTGTCTCGGCGAGGAGAACATGTTTGAGCTTAAGTCCAGCGTGAGTGGCAATTTCTTCGCCTGGTATGTGAAGAAGAGTGTGTTCTTCGGAAGAGCTTTGAAGCGATTCCTTAAGGATTGGAATGGATTTGAATGCCAGTAACTGAAGTGCAATAGGGAATCCCTGGAGACGCATTGTCCCACTTTGTAGTTTTTGCCGGAATTTGATTATAGGGTCTATCTGATTTTTTTTCCCTTTGGGAGCTGGGCGCAGCGTCTCTATGGTCGCTTTGAAGGATTCACGGCCCCACGGGTATTGAAGGAATGTTTGGACGTCGGATAGCATCGTCACATATCTGGCTGTGGGCTTAGGGAACTGGTGTTTGGTCAGGAGGACACCATCTACGATGATAATGAGAGCTAGTTTAAATTTCCGATCGTCTGTCATTGACTCCATTTCCTCTGGTTTTTTGAATAAGGTGGCGATATCGTCGATGGTAGTGTTTGGATTATCTGAGACAATCTCTCTCCATGTGGCGTCAATGTCGGTTCCAAGAGGTGGTGAGACTTCTTCAATGCAGTCCTCTTCAAACTCCCCGCAAGGGAGTCCCGTAATGGCTTCAAACTCCGGGAGACCGAATCTGAAAGGCTGACCACCGAACACCATCCACATCTCGTGTTTTTGCTTCGTGAGTAGTTGTCTAGTGATTAATTGATGTATCAATTTGCCAGAAGTGGGACATCGCGGGGAGGGTATATCGAAAAGTTTCCCAAAGCAAGATTTCCTGATCTGATCGAAGACTGGACTATCTTTCAAATGGTGGTGGAGAAAGGTCAGATGTTCCAGCTTTGCGTATAAGTTTAGACTTGCAACAGGGTATCTTCCCGTTGCAAACAGTCTAGATGGAAGTTTCCCATCGGGTGTGTCCCACTGTGGTCCTGTAGGTGTTAAAACGGAAGTGGGTATGTTAAGTTGAGTTAAGTTGACAAATGCAAACAATCGATTGAGTTTTGTTTGTATAAAAACACATCTGTGCACAAAATGTTGTGTGCCGAATTGTGAGGATTACATAATAGGTGTGAGGCAAACTATGAAAATTGGGTCGACATGAGCACCGGGATAGTTGAAAATTGTATTATTTTGGGAATAAACATCTAAATCCTAAAAGTAGAAATTGCTTTTAAAGTTGTTGACTGAAATGGATACACCCCTAGTGGACAATGGAATATGGATATGGTTGTTATCATTGGAAATCTCTCTATGTTTTTGTCTCCAAAACTCTCTAGAGGTAAAATTAAAACGAAAGAACATAACCATATGGATGCGTGGGCGTAGTTGTTTTTCAGATTTATGATAAATCGCACAGAGAAAATTGACATCATTGTCCCACGGTAGATAATTTGAAAACCCAATGACAGTAAACCCAGGTATCAGGCTTTGGAATTAGTACCTGGTATATCCTGCGAAGTTTTGGGATTTGGATTGAGTTGAGATGTGGAGGGATCCATGGTGTTAATGTGGACGGTGGTTGTCTTTCTCCGAGAATAGTGCGCCCGGCGGAGATAAAATTAGGGATGAATTAGGGTTTTAAGTAGATATCAACGCAGAGCAGATTTACAACGGAGGTTGGGTTAATTAACAACAATCTTAGTTCGAAAAAATATCTGGTGAACAACGAGTTCTGCGAGTCAATAGATTATCGGAGGCGGCATCGGGATGGTGGCGTAATATTTGTCTCTCAGTAAATAAACAACGCTTCAGATTTTACTGATAGTATAGATAAGGGTTATTTCTGTCATTCTATTTGCTAGAAGTCCACCAAATGTCCGAAGTGCGTTTTTATGTGAGTTGGAAATGTTAAAGTGTGTCCCACCGTAAATAACTCAATAATATAAGATCAACTATAAAAGTAATCTATCAGTTTCAGCACAATAATAATTTGATATCATATTCCTGGACTCATCTATAAAACGTTTCTTTTTTTGTTTTCTATATAATCTACTGTCTCTCTCACTCTTTGTTTTCATTTGAAAACATCAGAGTCCGATTTGTAAACTAGCACACTTTTGTTGATTAGTGCTTGACGTCCAACAACAAAAACGCTAAACTGAATAAGATTTTGGAAAATTAATTATTTTAGAAAAAACAACAAGTTAACTTTGGTACGAAAATTCATTTTTATAGTTCATGAGCCTGTTTATTCCTAGACTTTGTTTCGTGTCTTACACAAAAAAAAAAAAAACATAGTCAAATTTGATAACCGAATTTTGTATTGTATGCTTTTGTTTTATCAGCTATCATACGTTCAGAATTTTAAAAAGAAAACTAAAAGACTAACAAATAAGAAATAAAAAAAAATGGTATTTTAGTTGGACCGTAAACTAGAAAGGACAGATTCTTTCAACTCTAATTAGAGTCCGACGCTTGCCGCGTAAGTTTTTCCAACTCCCATTGACCTTTCTCTGCTCACACACTCGCTCCGCATATATATGTGTAGACGCCACTCTCTTTCATCTTCACCCACTTCATCTTTCAAAATCAAACCAAGAAGACTAATCAAGAAAAAAAAACAGAGTCCATAAAAAGATTTGTAACAAATGGCAAAAAGCAGATCTTTACTTCTGGTTCTCCTTCTTATATCCGTTTCTCTATCGACGGCTAGGATCTTACCCGGAGAATTTCTTCCGGTCATCGATAACGTCATCTTTTCCGGAGAGATCTCTCCTGATTCTAAGGCGGTGGTGGGTTGTGGAGGCGAGTCGCCGGAGACAAAGACGGAAAATACTTTTATTCCTGAAGTCACCGCCGGAAAGTTTGGCTCATTGGTGTTGAATGCTCTTCCTAGAGGGAGTCGTCCAGGATCTGGGCCCAGCAAGAAAAGCAATGACGTCAAGACTTAGAACTCTTCTTTGATTTGTCTGATCTTGTTTGATCTTTCTGTCCAAATTCTTCTTTTTCTTTGGTTTTACAGAGATTCTTTAATTATATTTTCAAATCGAAAATTTTGTAAATGTTACATATATGACAGAAACTTACAGTAGAAGTTTAGGATTTTTTTTTTCTGGTCTTTTTAAATTGAAATGATCAAGAGTGTTAAATCCTCATCTTGTATGAATTTATCAACAGCTTTTTTTTTTTGGTTTTTTGGATTAATACTTATACTACTCAGCTTTCTGTTTCCTAAGACTATTTTATTTGACTAAAGAAGGTTGTTAAACGCATACAAGTTGGTTGACCAAAAAAAAAACGCATACAAGTTGAACTAAGATAACAATTAAATTGAATTATGTAGTTTCGGGGTAACTGTATATGGTGGTTCCAAGAAAAGAGCTCAAAGTTTAGAAAAATCAAAATGGGGCCAAGGCGTATCAAATCAGACGTTAGTGCAAAAGGTGTAAATTTGACTTGGCTCGTCTTTCTTTTAAGTACCATATACTCTAGTCCTATATTTGCTTCATTTTCCACAATGCAGATATAGTATTTGACTACTCCCTCCGTTTCAAATTAGTTGTCGTTTTGGCAAAATGTATCTGCAATTATTTGGATGTATCTGCAATGCAAAACACGTCCAAATATTTACAGATACATTTTGCTAAAGCGACAACTAATTTGAAACGGAGGGAGTATTTGTTAAGTATGCGCACGCTATTTATTTTTTCTCCAGCAATGCCAAAAGTTAAATGATTGTTTTTTCGACCATTTTTTGTGGAGAATAGATCAGGCTTGGGTCTGGCCTAGATTATTGTTTCTTCATAAAAACGAACAAAACTCTTAAGAAAACAAACATATTATTGCATCCACACAGCTCAGTTGAGCAAAAACTCAAAGACCAAAGAGACATTGTAAGTTTGTTTCAGACAACCTTAAAAACAAAGTCGAGCTGGAACTGGTTCCTCTCTTTATGTTATCCTGATACGATTCACTTGGATTCCTTGTCATAAACTTCGCTTGCATATTTCCAGTTGATCACTTTCCACACGTTCTTCAGATACTCTGGCCTCACATTCTTGTACTGCAAAAGCGAAAAGATTGATTAAAGAAGAGTACTCAAAGCTTAAATCTTAAAAGATCGTCTTAAGGGATCACAAGTGTTTTTACCTGCAAGTAGTAAGCGTGCTCCCAAACATCAATACCCACCAGAGGCACCAAGCTTCCTCCTTTCGTCACTAATGGATCCTGCCACAGAACAAACTCTCTCTCCGTTAAAACTCATCAAGAACGTTGGCAAAGCTAAAAGCTTTTGAACGAATCGATATTGCATTCTTAACCTGATTGGCAGTGGTGTCAACCACAAGCTTCTTAAGTTCTTTGTCTAGACTGAGCCACTGAATCAATCAAGAGAAAGCAAGCTGAGTCAATAACCATGTTCATAAAGTAAAGCACCAACGCCAACAATGTGACCTGAAGGACAATAAAAGGTGAAACTAGAATACTAACCACCCATCCTGAGCCTTGCACAGCAGCACCTTCAGCACTCATCTTCTTCACCAAACCTTCGAGGGAGCCAAAGTGAGCGTCAATGGCGCTTCCAAGAGATCCCTTTGGTGGCTCTCCACCTCCTTGCTGTTATATGTTAAAACAAACCATTAAGCACATAACAACGCACAAGAAGAAATAGAAAGAAACTCTAAACACAAGCTCACATTGACAGGAGCAAGGTTCTTCCAGAAAATGGAGTGGTTCACATGACCTGCACATTAGAAATAGACCATATGAGGTTTCATTCTCTACCACATTAATCCATTTCTCATAGTTCCTCAGCAAAATTCCTTCTCTCAGTCAATCTAACAGCTTCTCAGCTCAAGACGCAGCAATTTATGTTACTGGATTAAACTCTGAGAGAAGTTTCACCGGAATTTCAGACTATATTCAGCACAATTAATCATCAGCTTCACTATTCAAATCCTCTACTAAATCAACTTCTTCAATCGCTGATATATTTAGCTCAAATGCTCAATTCGACTGATCACAAGGCCGTAGATTGCATCCAACCACGATCCAACACAAAACCAAACCGATTCAACACACCAAAATCGAGATCGAAAAATAGATAATTCGATGCGAATTAAAAAAAAAAAGTCAGAAACCTCCGCCGTTGAATTTGATGGCGCTCTGCAGCTTGACGACAGTGGAAGCATCTCCCTTGCTGACGGCCTGATCGAGCTGCTCAAGGGCATTGTTGTAATTAGTAACATACGCCTGGTGGTGCTTCTGGTGGTGAATCTGCATAATCTCGCCGCTAATCGCCGGCTCCAACGCACTGTAGTCATAAGGAAGATCAGGAAGCGTGAAAGTCTGGATTCCCCGGAATCCCAGAAGCCTTGAAGACGTCTCCTTCAAGCCGGCTAGGGTTTTTCTACTCGCTACACAACGAATCGCCATTGTTTGATAGATTGAGATTTGAGATACACAACAACAGTGAGAAGATTGATTCTTCCTTCTCTCGTGTAAATGTTTGTGGTTTAGTGGTCGCCAAAAATGAAAATGTTTATTTAGAAGGGGATGATAAAATCACTGCCTGTCGCGTAGAGATAAAGAAACAGTCGAGACACGTAGGCTTTGTAATTGTGGTTATGTGTCGATGGGCCGAAATATTGGACTGGTACGCCCAATTGTTTAAAGTTAAATATTTGTTTTTGTTCCGACGGCTTAAAGTTATTCTTTTTTAATTTCCAAGAACAGTGTATGAGATGATGATGATGAAATAAGAGAATGGAGAGGAAAGTATAAAGAAATGAAGAAAGTTGACTAGAAGCGCAGAAATTGAAATTCCAAATGTTGAATTTGGATGCATGTAAAAGCCACCACCACGGCCATTTCTATTTGGTTCCTCCTTAATTTTACCCTATCGCCGTCGTTCTCCGATCAATCTAGTTCCTTTCTGTTAGCGTAGAAGCCATCAATCATTGTGCCCCGGAGAATCTGAGATCGCCGATTTAAGGCGTGATTTGTTAATTCATTGAAATTGGCCTCCGGAAGTCGGAGGATTTGGTTTAAATTCGAGTCCGGAGATCTCTGATGGATAGTTCAAGTGACATTGAGGGTGATTCCGACGGGAGAAATGAAGTTGGATCTTCGTCGGATTATCGATTGTTGGGTCGGCAAGTTACAGTTCATCAGTTCATGGGCGGTGGCAAAGGCGAGTTTCCTTTTTCCGAATTTTTATTTCATCGATTGGGTAGTTTCCGATGAGAATTTACCAGATTTATCTACTTTAGAAATTGCATTTTGGAGATGACACTCTGAGAATTTAGGGTTTCTGATTTCGCTGGGCAAGTGCATTTCCAATTCTGAGTTTTTTTTCTTCTGATTTTAGTATCATTTTGGTAGTTTTGGATGATAATCTTCAGGATTTGCTGAACCTAAAACTCATATTTTTTAGGTGATATTTGGAAAAGGTTAGGGTATCGTCAGTTGTGCAAGTACATTTAGCAGTTTACTTGAAGATTGCAAATTTGGCATCGTATATTGTGGAATTTAGGTTAAGGTTTGTTCTTGAACGAGAGCTAGTTATGGATTCAAATCTGGATTGCATTTTCTTTGAACTCTGCAAGTGAGTCTCAACCATTTTGTATGGCTTTGTTCTTTGATGCAGCTGCTGATTTGCTCTTATGGAGGAGAAGAAATGTTTCTTTGGGGATTATCGTTTTATCAACTGTAGCTTGGCTCATATTCGAGCTCTCTGGATTGCCCATCTTATCTGTTTCTTCAGATGTTTTACTGATTGGGATCATAGTATCATTCGTCCGTGCCCGAGTTTCTGCTTTTAGAAATAGGTGCAAACAACTTCTCACCATGCTACTCTTTTTCATCATTATTTGATGTTTATGTGTGACTGATCAATCACAACCTGATTTATCTGTATAAGCAGACAGCCAAATTCCTTGCCAGAGCTTGTTCTATCAGAGGAAATGGTGAATAGTGCCGCAGCTTCTTTCCGTATAAAACTGAATCACTTGCTTGTAATGGCTCATGATGTTACAGTTGGCAACGATTTTCGACTCTTCTTCAAGGTTGTGAAGCTATTCCATGAAACTCACAGTGATAGTGATAAGCGTCTGAACAATTGGCCTAGATGTTAACGGTCTTGACAATTGTTTCTTAAGCAGGTGGTGATATGTCTGTGGCTTCTCTCTGCCATTGGTAGCTATATTTCTTTCTGCACTCTTGTTTATATCGGTAAGTGACATGATCCCTAACGAAAGCGAGAGATAAAGCATTTAAGTGAGTCTTCTTATATGATGTTAACTCTTTTATGGTGTGAACAGGGACCATCCTATCTGTAACAGTACCGGCTTTGTACAGCAAATATCAAAGCAAAGTAGACAAGTGTTGCGGGTCGATTCACAAGCAGTTGTCTCATCACTACAAGTTGGTGGACGAAAGTGTTATAAGCAGACTCGCATGGAGCTTATCCAAGGATAAAGATTCTTGAGGGTTAAATTTGGTGATTTTGAAAATGCTTTTTACTTGTTTTTTTTGTTCGTAGCTTTTACTAGTTTGGTTTTCTTCTGATTCACCATGTGTACGTAGTATATAACTGAACGACGATTTCAATGATGAATATATAAGAAGGTTTCTTTGTTCAACCGAATCAACTGTCTCCATTTTGTAACAGAGGCTTTGTCTAAAGATCATTCTTGTAAAATGGCTTCTGTTTGCTAAACGATATCGTGGCAGTATATGGCTTATGTAGTTATGAAAGTCTCACATCCAGTATTGACTAGCCCAACGTTAAGAGCCCAATTGCCTAGTAAATGGCATGCAAGGTCAGGTGTCCACGTCACTTGGAAGTTTTTGCTTACACGAAATGACGAAATAATCAATACAAGAATCTTATTTACACACATTAAATTTGGAGTATGAATGCTAGAACTCTGACGTCAAAACAAAACAATGCTACAAGTCTACAAGACTACAACTAATGACTACTATATGAGTATGAAGGTAGTCACATACTCACATCTGTTATGTATGGTCACATGAATAAAATCTACTACACATTCCTACGAAACCTGTGTTTAATTTCTCATGTATTATTTCAACTACTATTGTTTATCATTTCTATGTATAAATTTATAATTAAATGGAGAATCGGAGATCATAGAACTAAATAGTCCTCCACCTCCACCTACTATACATTACCTTAGTTTAAAGTCCGTTACGTCTAGGATGATATCACACACTTTTGTAAATATTTGTTTGCCAAACATTTCTACAAAAGAAAACCTTCAGTAAAAGATCCACTTAAGTTGTAGATTCGTGTATGCGGTTGATGGATCTCACACGTTGGAGTGTTGTTGTCAAGTAATGGAACTATTGAAGCTAAGGAGACAAGTGTGGTGTCTATTGCGTGATCTTGTATTTCTATTTCATTTGTGTATTTCTCCATGAATTATTGTGTTTGAATCGGACTTCTTATACTTGTGGTCCCGTAAAGGCCACATACAATTTTGTATGAACCATTTAATTCGTAAACCAACTACATACACACAAGTTTTCATCATCTGAATATATTGCTTGAATCGGAATCTAGAGTTTAAGCCTATAATTTCACATACCACCATGTGGATTTTGTACGTAGTATATATGGCCAATTCAATGGAAAATCAATTGGCCTTGACCGACATAGTAGCCAAAACTATAAATCTTTCAAATCTCTCACGGATAATTGCCCTTGTTATACAACAATTGAAAACCATATTATTATTCATTATTAATGATCATTCATATGGTGGTATCTACACAGAAGAAAACCAAAAATCTTGGAATCATTATACCATATGTTAATTATATCCGTCAAATTAGTTGGGAATATGATACCCCAACCATACAGTTTAATATAATCAAATGTTGCTTTCCCACTACAAAATACAAATCTCATTTGTAGTGTCTTCTTATTTGAGAATTAATTCCTTTTAGCTTGATTCCAAAGTTCTTCAAACCACTAATAATGAGTTTGTTATTTGTCGATTCTGATATCTATTAAACTAATCGTTTTCTTCTTTGTCGTCTTCTTTGCTCTATCCTTTACACTGATCCCAATTAAGAAGACACACCGATCCAACAAAGAATTTAACAAAATCATAAGGTCCCATGATTATACAATTAGGTTATAAATTATTTGGTGGGTCAATAGAGAATACATGCTCTGATATGTAATTTTAAACCCGAAATCTCATACTGATCTTCAGAATTTGCAAGCCAAACAACAGATGTTTAAAAAAAAAAGAATAATACAATCTCTAGTACATTTTTTGCCAATGAAGTAATATTAATACACAGCTTTGGTTGAAAGAGAGAACAAAAATTGACATCAACCAATCAGAGCAAAACTAATAGTGACCATTCACTTGCTACATATATAAATAACAATTTTAGTATTTTACCAAGAATTTATTTGACCAACCACATCATAATCTCTCTATAACTCTTGAAAGAGAGTCGCCCATAAATCCATTTATGATTCTTTTATCACACAACTTGACATAAATTTTTGTGTCTGTCTTCTCATCTTTACTCACACAAGTCACGAGAAGAAACAAATCAGAAAGAATAGATTTCAGATCGAATCAAAGATCAAAGCTCCGAAAGAGAGAGTGAAGAGAAAAAAAAAATCCTTGTGGGTTCTTAAAGAACATGAGGGATATCGATTCCCTCATCTCCATCTCTCTCGTCATCCGATTTGAGTAACAAGACGAATCTTGAAGGTGAAGCAATTCAAGTCTCCGATCTCCTCAGTTTCTCAAGCGTACCTCAAAGATGGGTCGATTGTTACTTGAGCCTCAAGCAAACGCACCAGCCGAAGCAAACCCTAAAACCAGACCAGGCTTTAACGACACCTACTTCGACACTAACATGGTCATCATTTTAGCGGCTCTACTCTGCGCTTTAATCTGTGCTCTCAGCCTCAACTCTGCCTTACGCTGTGTGCTACGCCTCACAAGGAGGTTCACTTCAGATCAAGACGCAGACGCTTCAAACGCTAACGCAAACGCAAATTCGGGACATTCAGCAACTCCCACGGGGATAAAGAAACGGGCGTTGAAACAAATCCCCGTGGGGTTGTACGGGTCAGGGATCATTAACATGAAAGCTACGGAGTGTTTGATCTGTCTCGGAGATTTCGAGGAAGGAGAAAAAGTTAGGGTTTTGCCAAAATGTAACCATGGCTTCCACGTGAGGTGCATCGACACTTGGTTGCTTTCACGTTCCTCTTGTCCTACTTGCAGGCAATCGCTACTCCTTGAGCAACCGCCGCCGATTGGTGGTGGTTCCCGGCGGGATAATGACGTGGCAGTTTCCGTTTCATAGGGACATAACTTGATGGTGATCTCTTAGTTAAACTATGCTCTGTCCTCAGGTGGGTTTGGTTTTTGTTGGTTGGTTACATAATTTGTTTCTTAATTTATTGTGTGCAAATTAGTGTGATTATTATTTACACATATATTCTTGTGCGCTGGTGATTTTAATGTGATGGGGTTTGGAACTTGATAACAAAGCCATTCTTCTTTCAACTAAATTTTCTTTTTATAAGTAACTTCTTTATATTAAGACTGGTGTCAGTATTTCAAAACTCTAATATTAGCTACATGATCCAAACTAAAACAAGAGGAACTCAACAAAATTATGATCCAAAACAAGATTTTGATTATTTTCAGATTTTTTTACCTCGTATGTATTTGGTAAAAAGTAAAGAGTAAAGCCTTTGGTAGAAAAAAGGTAAAGAGTAAACTAATAACAAATCGAAATAACTCACAAATATAATGGGAAGGATTAATCAATTCAACGGCTCTCTTCTCGCTTTTGCATTTATTAGCAACAATTTCCATAACTACTCGCTTAATCTACGGGCCTGTATTGGGTCTCAGTTTCCATGTTTAACTAGCAGTCTGTTAATGGCCCAGAATGGTCATATTTCGGAGACCGGATAATAGCTTCACGTTTTAGATTTTTAATAAACGGTTACGAAAACTCACTTTTCATTTTTGTTGTTGCTGTTAACGTAGAAACAAATTCGAAACTCTAACGTACAAACAATAGCGAGATTTTATGGACCGGAATGTTTCCTTCTCGATACAATGAAATATTTTTTCAAAAAATTTAGGAAAACACAATATTCTGACCAAACCGTAATAGTTAAAGGATATTTGTATCACAAGAAAGTATATCACCTCATCGTTTACAACAGTTACAAAATCGATATTTACATCCGGATATAGAAACTTACATGCTATTTCTTACAATGTGCCATTTACTATAAAAATCATTATGTTCTATGTAAAATTCGAGTGAAATAACATATTTCATAATAACATAAAAAGTTGGAAGTGGTCATCAACGAAATGACATGCAAAACTTAGCAAATACCATATGTACCCGCAAGCATCATTCACATACTTGTTTGGTATTAGTGTAATTTATCTAAATGTCAATTTTTAGTGGTAGTCCATTCCAATTTCTCTAAATGTCAAAATATATGCCAATGAAAAATGTGGTATACATCTTTGAGTTGGTTGTAACTAAATGTCAAATTTATGTAAATGTCAAAATATTTGCCAATGAAAAATGTGGTATACATAATACATCTTTAAGTTGGTTGTGGTAACTATCTTCTACATATTGTTGTGGACTATACATATTTACCATATTTCTCAAAAATGTGGTAACTATCTTCCACATTTTGTTGTGGACTACCACTAAAAATTGACGTTTAGATAAATTTCACTAATATAATAAATGAAAAACATAATTTTCACCTACTTCGATAACTGATATCAAGAGGAAAAACAAAGAAATATATTACAATTTACAAGAATAAAATGTTGACCAAAAATAAATAACCCAAACTGATTAGGAATATAGCAATACGTTGACCTAAATCCTAACTTTTAACAATTTGAATTGACAATGAAGAAACAATGTTGATAGATTTACAATTAAAAATATATACAAAAAAATAACTATAAACTATTAATTAAAATAATGATAAGGTGAGATTCTCTCCCAAAAATAGAATCCTAAATTTCTTATTATATACTATAATTATACTTTTACTGATTTCTTGTGTTATATGGATGTCACGTGTATAATTATGTAAATGAAACGAATCAGTGAATATTCATGCATGGATGTAATCGTAAGAAAGTAGACTCTATATATTAACTCACATTGACTCGTCGAGGACAATATAGCACAAAAACAAAAAGAAAGTAAAGAAGAAAATGAATTGTTTGTGTTTGGTCGCGTTTCTAGCGATTGTGATCGCACAAAGCTATAGCGTTCTAGGCGTAGAAGCTGCGTCGAGTGACGGGTTCGTGAGTAGGAAAGGCATTCAGTTTATTCTCAATGGAAAACCATTTTACGCCAATGGATTCAATGCCTACTGGCTCGGCTACGAAGCCACCGATCCTGCCACAAGGTTTAAGATCACCTATGCGCTTCAAAACGCAACCACTAATGGTTTGACCATCGCACGCACTTGGGGATTCCGCGACGGTGGTTACCGTGCTCTCCAAATCACACCCGGTTCCTACGATGAACTAACGTTTCAGGTAAGTGCATATGTGTATATAGAGAGGATCTATTTTTTCCATTATGTACAATCAGTTTTCAATAAACATAGAAATGTAATATCTACATATCCTGTACTAATAACTCTGCTTTCCCCATTTAGATGCTTAAACTGGCAAATGAATATTTTATATATGTTTTGGGATTAGTTTGGTTTTTGATCTAAGATTTCGATGACAAAAAAAATGTTGTATACGTTAAAAAATATAGATGTTTATTCCATCGTTAAATAAAAAAATAATACAAAAATTAGATTTAGAAAATATTAGAGATACTGTATTTTGTATATGTTTCACCATTGTTGTTTATGTTGTCCCTTTTATCTCTTGTAAACTCAATAGAGTCTAGATTTTTCTCACCAAATGTGAAGCTTTGTAATCTAAAACACCTTTTTCTGTTAATAACTTGTCTTTATTTTTTTTATTTTTTTGCTGGTGGAAAGGGTTTGGATTTTGCAATAGCCGAAGCAAAAAGACTAGGTATAAAAATGATAATTACCTTTGTCAATAACTATTCGGACTTCGGAGGAAGAAAACAATACGTGGAGTGGGCTAAAAGTAAAGGCCAAAACGTATCTTCCGATGACGATTTCTACACAAACCCTCTTATTAAAGAGTTCTACAAGAACCACGTCAAGGTACATAAACTTAACTCATGTTCATAACAAATTTATATTAGACCCTAAATTATATAACCTATGATCTATCTTTGTAGACTATGGTGAACAGAGTGAATACATTTACCAAAATTGCATACAAAGACGAAGCGGCCATCATGGCTTGGGAGCTAATGAACGAGCCACAATGCAAAGCAGACCCAAGTGGTAAAACCCTAACGGCTTGGATTAGTGAAATGGCTCCTTATGTAAAATCACTAGACTCAAACCATCTTCTCGGTACTGGTCTCGAAGGCTTCTACGGTGACTCATCTCCTGAAAGAAAGACTTCTCTTAATCCGGTTGCAGCCAACGTTCTTGGAACTGATTTCATCGCTAATCACAATATCGACGCCATTGATTTCGCATCGATTCACGCTTACCCTGACTTATGGTAATAGCTAACTCACATACATATTCATCCTCAAATTATTATTATTATTATTTCTTGCTTAACACGTTAGCTTATAGAAGTAATTATCGGTTTCTTGATTTTTGTAGGTTTCCAAACTTAAATGAGACTGGTCGATTGGACTACTTAAGTTACTGGATCGAAGGTCACATGGAAGATGCGGAGAGCATTCTTAAGAAACCTCTGATCCTCGGAGAATTCGGGAAACCAACGGAAACACCAGGCTACACTCAGGCTCAGAGAGACGCAGTCTTCGTTGTAACGTTCGAAACCATTTACGAGTCTGCGGCAAAAGGTGGTCCAGCCGCAGGAGCATTGTTTTGGCACCTTATTAGCGACGGTATGAACAATTTCAAAGATGGCCTCGCCATTGTTCTTAGTGACAAATCGTCGACGAATAGTATTATTGGTCAGCAGTCACGAAAGTTGCGTTTGATTGGTGGTGGTAAAGGCAAGTTAAGCCGCAAAATCAAAAACTAAACTTTTAAATAAGTTTCTTTCTGTACTTTAAATAAGTTTAAAATAAGGCTCAGAGTTTAAATAATCTACGTCAATTTTGCAACAATTAAAGTATAAGATAAGATTTCAACGATATTATACAATATTGAAATGATATCCATTTTTTATTAATACAAATTCCCTAATTGATTAGTTCTGTATACTCTTTCAATCAAAATTATGCAAAAAGATGATGATGCAACATGTGTTTACCTCAAAACTCAATATTTTGCATCATGCCTGAAAGTGATCTTACAAAGTTTGGGACTTTCTACAAATCACTTTACAAGGCATCACTAATTATTATTACCTGATAGTGATCTTACAAGTTCTGTGTATCTGCTCTTATAATGATCAAGAGAGAAACAGAGCTCTCTTATAGCTTCTCTTTTCTCTTCCTCTCTTTCTGATATCACATTTCTCTGCAACTCCACTTGTTTCTCCAGCTCTTCAACTCTATCAGAGACATACTTGTCAGTTCCTGATTCAGACACAAGGTCAGTGTCTTTGACACAAACCTGGTTCAAATACTCCTCCATTTGCTCGATTTGGATCTCTCTTAATCTCAACTCTGCTCTTAGACTATCTAACAAGTCATCGCCATTATCTTTCTGCAGTTTCGCTTTCTCGGCTCTGCATTCACTCAGCATTTCACTCAGCTTCGAAGCCTCGATTTCCGAAACAGCTAAACACTCTTTACACTCCTCGAGCTCACTCTCTAAATTCTCAATCTTGCAAGTTGAATCCGATAGCTTCCTCTCTAACTCAACCACACGTCTTTTCTCAGCTTCCAATTCTTGAAGTGCGGTTTCAAGCTCGCCGCTAAAGATATCAGCAAGTAGATACGCAGATTCGTTCTTCTCAACCTCACACTTTTGTTTCAAACTCGGCACCCTCTCTCTACTACTGGTGTTCCTCTCTGTTGAGTTACAAGATCTTGACTCCAGAGAAGGAGAAACATCAGAGTTAAAGGAGCTCAAATCCGCCATTGGAGTTACAAGGGAAGAAGAGGCATCGTTGTGGTCGGCAAATGATAGTTTCAAATCGATATTGAGGAGGCCGTTGAGGAGTTCCTGGTTCAGATCGTTGTAATGCTCACCGAGAGACTGATATAAGCTAAGAAATTTCTCTTTTGAATCAGCTTCACCATCTTTGATCAGTCTCAGCATTCTTTGGATATTTTGATTTATCTCTGTGGATGCAAATATGTATACATATGTAATGTAAGTTGTGTTTGAACAAAGATGAACAATTTAGACGGAATATATTACCTGTTAATATATCTGCTAGTGACTTAGAATCATGAAGCCACGAGGATGAATCAACGTTCTCTGATCCTGTTTCTGTGGAGGAATCCATCTAAAAATATGAAGAGAGGAAAATTGTAACATCAGAGAATAGTTTCAGAGTGAAATTACAATGGCGAATCAGACTGTTTCTAAGATTTTTGGACTGGAATGAATCCGCCATGTAAACCTAGAAAAAGCTCAGATTCGAGAGGGAACTGATTTTTGGGGGCAAAATTGTAATTTTCGGAAGTTTGGTCGTCGGGAAGAAACTAAAAGGATCGCAGAATCCGAAAATAAAAACAGACCAGACTGTGAAACATTGAAAAGAACTCAGCAAAACCTAAACATAACTAAGAGCAGGAGATTTACAAACCCTAATCAGACGAGGCGGATGATCGATCTCTCCACGAATAATCCAATTCCCAGAAAGAGTGAGCGAGAGAGAGAGGAAAGAGAGATTTAAGCTAACTGACCTGAATTTTGATTTGATTGCGAGGAGAAACCTAGATTTCTCGATTACAGGATTACGAGGAGGATTTTTAAATTAGGGATACGAGTTACGATGAGGAAGATGGAAAGATTTTTTGTTCAACAGTGGAAGGGTAAATGGCGGGCTTTTTATTCAAATTTTCAAATGTCTACGAAATTTCTAAAAAACCTTTTGTGTCGTGTCATCAAATATATTACTAATTTTAATTTTGAATTAACTAATTAAGTTAATTTTCCATCCAATATCAAGCATTTTCATATCTTCACAACGACATATTTTTATAAGGCTGGCGAAAGTTTATCCTTTTTCTTGTCTTTTATAAAATGTCTTCTTTTTTGGGGTTTTTTTACTTTACATCAACTCACCAGATAAAATTTCTACTGTGTATTTTTATTGTTTCTCAAATTAGTCCGGTGTAAAGTTGGCATGCTGGTTTATGTATTTTCTTAAGTTTGATGTTATTGCATCTTTAAAATTTGGTTTTCTACGTGTTTAAAATATACTATAAGAATTAAGAAAATGCACGTACTAACAGCATTTCGATATCGGTATATAAAACAACTCTTCAGTTATAATAATAGTCGACAATGATTGAAACAGTTAAAAGAAAAGATATATGCGTCAGTAGACACACTGATAACTTTTGAGACAAAGGGACATGGCTTTTCTCCACTATCCCAAATCTATTTGTAATTTTGTATGCATGTATTATTAATAGATTCATCATATTTAGTTATTCACTTGAGTCTTGACAATCGACATTTTAATGGAGCTTCAATTGACATGTAGTTGGAGTATTCTTTCTCCTCTTTTTTGTCAACGTGTATTTGGCGTTTACGAATTCTATATATGCCTCTTAAACCAGTGAAATCAACCAGTTAACAAAGTGGCTGTAGTTTAGTGGTTAGAATCCCACGTTGTGGCCGTGGGGACCCGAGCTCGAATCTCGGCAGCCACATCTTTTTACTCTGTTTTCCAGATTAAACGCTGTCGTATTAGTTAAAAACTTAAAATCCTTCATAAAAAAAAGGATGGGCTGGTCTATAACGAAAATGCTGATGATGGTTTAGTGGTGATAACTTAGTGGTAAAAGTATATTTTGTCGAAACTATAAGGTATTTTTTGCTATACACTCATTCTATTTAAGATGCCACGTTTACCACGTCACATCAAAACTATTTAAGATGCCATAAAAATACAGAATACTTTGAAAAAAGGGGTAAAATTATAATGGGAGAACGTTATTCACATAATTAAAATTAATCAGATTCTCTTGTCCACAAAGACACTGACAATTGGCAAAAGGCTTTTCTTTTTGCACATGTGTCCCGTCCCCTCTGACCATTTCATTTGTCACCTCTCACTTATTGCATTTTCCCCCTTTTTTTTTGGCTAACCAAGCATGCATTTTCTCTTTTTCTTTAAATATCAAAAATACCAAAGGCATCAAAATATAATTGAATACCCGTTAAAAAAGATAGTATTTGCTAAATCTAATGATAATTTAAACGTATAATTTCACTAATATGTTTTACGAGAAAAAAGAGATATTATTTTTGCTAGTGTTCAAACTTCAAACAAAACACGTTTCTTGGTTAAAACTTTGAAAATGGTTGGGAGAGAAAAAAAAGAGAGCCATGAGCAGAAAACCCTCATAATATGGAATATTGCATACTAAAAATAACAACTTGAATCATAAATTAGTCATGTATGTCATTTTCATTTATACGTTGGTTTGTCTAGCGTAAAACATGAAAACTTTTAAAAAGGGTTGAATTACCATATAGATTACAAAATAAACCGAAAATTAGGGAGATCTGAAAAAAAATAAAAATAGATGAATAGACTTTTGTTTGCCCACTGAAAAGGAGGGCATATCTTCATCTTTGTTTGTGACACTTCTCCTTTTCAATCAGTGTTCAATTATTTGCATCTAATTCCTCTTTTTCTTTACATTTATCATTCTTAAACTTTTTTAAAAAACTTACATAGAAAGAAAAAAGAAAGGAAAAACTATTGCATGAAAGTAAAACTCTTTATAATTTGATGGTTCTACGTTAACTTTTTACGACATATACGTCTTTTTGAGCCAATTGGCACCATCGGATACTAAATACTAAATCCTAGCACGGGGCATCATAATATGTCTCACACGTGAGTACGTGACCTACCTGAATCTATGTAGAACCATGACTACTTGACTAGTAGTTTATTTTCATATCAGAACTAATTGTAACCAGCTATCAATGGATTTTCTTATTATATCCTTCTCACCGTCTGGTAATCGTGATTTGTATATCTCGAATTACTGTTTAGAGGATGTAGAAACGTAACTAGTGCGGATAAAATGGTACCAAATATAAGAATATAGTCAGAACAAACAATTATTACTCATTGACTATCTCAACTATAGGAATGTGCAGTAACCAAGTGATGATATAAGAAGTCGGATCCACAACCAAAATGATCAATGTACTTTTATACAAAATAAATACCTCAGTCTTTCTAAAAAACGTTTAACATACTTAATTTTAAGATTAAATTAATCACAACACACGATTAAAGGCTGCCACAATCCAGAAATTCGCAAAAAAAATAAGAATAAATAAAACGAAAAAAACAGAGAAATTTGCATTGTACAAAGAATCAACATTTCATACTTTCATTGATAGTAAAAAAGTGTTTATTCCTTCTTTTATTTTGGAATACCTTTTTAGGTAAATCACTTTTTAATTGCTTTATTCTACTAGATATTTCGTTTTACCAAATAAATGTGTTGAACTTATTGGTTGCTCGACTTAATTTTGGGCAAAATTAAAATCTGTTTGATATAACAAGAAGGATTCTTTGGGCTAAAATTTGAGTTTCAAAAGGAAAAATATCCTACAAAGTGTACGTAAAGTTTTACAGCCTATCGCATAATAATTTTCTGTCCAATGTATACTTGTCATTTCCTCATATATTATAATACAATTTGATTATTTTAACATACAAAAAATCACCCAAATGAGAAAGAAGCAAAAGAGATAATTTTCACTATATATGCGTACGTTTGAGCTTGACATATGTGACAAGACACAGCATTCTGTTGAAGAAAACCCCATAAAGTCTCCGGCGAAAATCCGGCGTAATCAATGGCGGAGGAGAATCAAGAAGAAAACCCAAAACTGAAACCAATAAAAAAAGCACCACACTTTGTGCTAATACACGGCATGAGCTTAGGTTCATGGTGTTGGTACAAGGTCAAGTGTCTCATGGAAGTCTCTGGCTTCGCCGTCACTTGCATCGACCTCAAATCCTCCGGCATCGATTCTTCCTCCGCTGATTCTCTCACATCCTTCGACCAATACAATCAACCACTCATTGACTTCCTTTCCTCCTACCCCGAACAAGAACAGGTCACACCAAAAACCTAATTTAAATGATTCTTGAATCTGAAGCAAACTCATCATCTGCTTTCTCTGTTCTGTTTTTGTCATCAGGTGATACTAGTGGGTCACAGTGCAGGAGGGCTAAGCGTAACGAGTGCGATACACAGATTCCCTAAGAAGATCTGTCTTGCTGTTTATGTCGGAGCTACGATGCTTAAATTCGGATTTCAGACCGATCAAGATTTGAAAGATGTAACTAAATACCAATTTTCTCTTAAGAACCAAGTTAACTTGTGTGTGACGTTATGTTATTTTTCACAGGGAGTGCCTGATCTATCAGAACATGGTGATGTCTATGAGCTCGGTTTCGGTTTAGGACCCGAAAATCCTCCGACCAGTGCTCTTATCAAACCCGAATTTCGACGTGAACTCCTTTACCACATGAGTCCTCAACAGGTTTGTCTCTAATTTCATTTCCTATTAAAGCTCAAAGATCCAAATGTATTTGTGGTTGGTGTTATATTCCGAAGCGGATATTTATGGTTTTGTGATATTTGTGATTTGTTTCCGACTAAGCACTTTTTGTAGGTGTTTCTCATAATTTGGTGTTTGTATATCCGTTAATACCTCAATTTAGGTCATACATTATAAAAAATAATTGTAAAAGTTTCACCTTATAATCTTGACCATTAATTTGAAGGGAAATAATATATTTTTACATTTTTTTTGTTCTTTTTTGAATTGTAGTATTTGGGAATTTATATATTGGGATATTAGCCTTTTATATTTGTTTTTGGCACTTTGCTATATAGAATTACGGTTATCCATGCATATTGTTCTTAATCATTTTTGTTTTTGTTCGTGTGGATAAAATCCTTAGCATTTGATATTTTGTGTGTGTGTGAGTAAGGAATGTGCGTTGGCTGCGTTGATGATGAGACCAGCTCCGCTTCTGGCGCTCACAACAGCAAAAGTGGAAGAAGAGGAGGAGGAGAATGACATGGCGCACGTGCCACGCGTGTACATGAAGACGTTGCACGACCGGGTGATGAAACCGGAGCAGCAAGACGCCATGGTTAAACGGTGGCCACCGAGCCAAACTTACGAATTGGATACCGACCATTCTCCTTTCTTCTCTAATCCTTTTGTTCTCTTCGGTTTACTCATCAAAGCTGCCGTTTCTATGGGTTCTATCTAAATATTCAAGTCTTATGTATCTTTGTGTTGTTCGATTTAAAACCCGGTTAAGCGATCGGTTTGGTGGTTTGAGTATTTTTTTCCAATAACCAAATGGAATGGTAGTCTTTAAATTTCTCTTGCGTCACGAAACTCATTTTATAAAGTTAAATTTGGATTTTACTTTTTAGTTTTAGAGAATGCACTAGTATTTCACCCGTACTGCGTCCAGGATAACAAATTATTAGATTAAGGGATGTAACATAATTTTTCCAAAGTGTTATGAATCAATAATTTTATTAATTTCTGCTTTCAAAGATTGGAGGTTGAGTGGTGCGGATTGGTGAAATGTTTTAGAAGTAGCGATGATCTGTTAAAATAATAAAACTCAACTTAGCATGGTTTCGAAAGGGAAGGAATGTTTACATATATTTTTCGTTTTCTTTAACACAAACAAACTTCATTTTAACTTAAACATGGGGATAAAAATATTGTTTCTGCTTTTCCACAATCGGAGTTAACAAATTAATTATAGTAAATTTGACTTGTCAATGCACAAATTTCCTCTCGTCTTATGAACCTGAAGGTCGGTTGTAAGGGCCCAGTCCTGGTTCCAGGGATCTCCGACGTGAAAGTCTTCAACCTTGGCCACCGAAATGGCTCATTGACAGCCTGAATCTGGGAATCGCTCCCTCCAGAGAGACTTTTACTAAACCCAAATTGTTAACACAAAACATAGCCCAGATTAAGGCTGTTGCTTTTGCTTCCAAGGCAGAATGGAGTTTAGGATAGGACGCCCCATCCCATCTAGTTTGAACCCATTCATCCCGTAAAACCCATCCAACTCCACACTGTTCATAGGTCGCAGATCATGAGACATCTGCATCGGATGGAACAATTTTTAAACCATGAAACTTGTAGTTTATTCTACACACATGGATTATATATTAAAAGAACAAAATTTTACTCTGTTAGCTCAAACCAAGCCAAATATTTCACATGTTACTACTACTAATACAAAATCTTTATTCAAGTTAAGATACCACTAATCAAAAGAATCGAAGTTAAATCCTTGAATCAGTTCAAAATTAGGCAAAGGCTCAACATTTTAAAAATCCCAAAATCCACTCGAGAAACATGAATCGAATACCTGGCGGCAATAGAGTAAACGTCGTTCACATCAGCTCCGTTCTCGAGCAACACTCCAATGATCTAATATGAAATAGAAAAAAAGATCATCAAATTGAAAATAAAACAATCTGTAAAGTCTGTGAAATAAGAATTATAGAAAGCCAACCTCGTTTGTCCTTCAGCGGCGGCGCCACCGAAGGTAGAGACGTAGAGTGCTTGGCGAGGCAAAGATTGCAATCGAGAAGCATCTTCGCCTCAACGAAATCACCATCTCTCGCCGCCGCCGACACCAATCTCTCGCTGGACGCCGAACATCCAAACGAATTTCCCCATTTTTTAACTCTACATCTCTCTTCTTCATATGAGAATGAAAATCTCTCTCTATCTGAAAATCAATTGGGTGTGAAAAATGGGTCAACCATTGTGGAAAGATACAGAGAGGAAAGAACGGGATTTGATATGAAGCATAAACTTACGTTTAATATATGTTTCTTCTTCTTCACTTTCTTCACGCTAAGATTCGAGAAATTCATTCGTCAAGGGGAAGCTCTGGTAACAGCGATTCATCTGCCACAAACTAATTTTTTTTTTAAGATGAATAGATTTGGGTGGTTCGTTTGCGGCTGGATATGTGAGAGATTTCATGGTAAAAGTGGATTTATGAGATTGAAGATCGTGAGGATGAAGACGGTTTCTTAGATCGTGGAAGTTACAGAGAAAAAAAAACAATTTGAACAAAAAGAAATAAGAAAAAGTAAAAAACCAACGAAAAAAAGAAAAAAGAAATTTACAAAAGATATTTGGAAGGGACACGTGTCACTCATATAAGCCACGAGGTGACTTCACACTATTCATAGGTCGCAGATCATGAGACATCTGCATCGGATGGAACAATTTTTAAACCATGAAACTTATAGTTTATTCTTCACACATGGATTATATATTAAAAGAACAAAATTTTACTCTGTTAGCTCAAACCAAGCCAAATATTTCACATGTTACTACTACTAATACAAAATCTTTATTCAAGTTAAGATACCACTAATCAAAAGAATCGAAGTTAAATCCTTGAATCAGTTCAAAATTAGGCAAAGGCTCAACATTTTAAAAATCCCAAAATCCACTCGAGAAACATGAATCGAATACCTGGCGGCAATAGAGTAAACGTCGTTCACATCAGCTCCGTTCTCGAGCAACACTCCAATGATCTAATATGAAATAGAAAAAAAGATCATCAAATTGAAAATAAAACAATCTGTAAAGTCTGTGAAATAAGAATTATAGAAAGCCAACCTCGTTTGTCCTTCAGCGGCGGCGCCACCGAAGGTAGAGACGTAGAGTGCTTGGCGAGGCAAAGATTGCAATCGAGAAGCATCTTCGCCTCAACGAAATCACCATCTCTCGCCGCCGCCGACACCAATCTCTCGCTGGACGCCGAACATCCAAACGAATTTTCCCATTTTTTAAGTCTACATCTCTCTTCTTCATATGAGAATGAAAATCTCTCTCTATCTGAAAATCAATTGGGTGTGAAAAATGGGTCAACCATTGTGGAAAGATACAGAGAGGAAAGAACGGGATTTGATATGAAGCATAAACTTACGTTTAATATATGTTTCTTCTTCTTCACTTTCTTCACGCTAAGATTCGAGAAATTCATTCGTCAAGGGGAAGCTCTGGTAACAGCGATTCGTCTGCCACAAACTAATTTTTTTTTTAAGATGAATAGATTTGGGTGGTTCGTTTGCGGCTGGAGATGTGAGAGATTTCATGGTAAAAGTGGATTTATGAGATTGAAGATCGTGAGGATGAAGACGGTTTCTTAGATCGTGGAAGTTACAGAGAAAAAAAAACAATTTGAACAAAAAGAAATAAGAAAAAGTAAAAAACCAACGAAAAAAAGAAAAAAGAAATTTACAAAAGATATTTGGAAGGGACACGTGTCACTCATATAAGCCACGAGGTGACTTCACACTGTTCATAGGTCGCAGATCATGAGACATCTGTATCGGATGGAACAATTTTTAAACCATGAAACTTGTAGTTTATTCTTCACACATGGATTATATATTAAAAGAACAAAATTTTACTCTGTTAGCTCAAACCAAGCCAAATATTTCACATGTTACTACTACTAATACAAAATCTTTTTCAAGTTAAGATACCACTAATCAAAAGAATTGAAGTTAAATCCTTGAATCAGTTCAAAATTAGGCAAAGGCTCAACATTTTAAAAATTCCAAAATCCACTCGAGAAACATGAATCGAATACCTGGCGGCAATAGAGTAAACGTCGTTCACATCAGCTCCGTTCTCGAGCAACACTCCAATGATCTAATATGAAATAGAAAAAAAGATCATCAAATTGAAAATAAAACAATCTGTAAAGTCTGTGAAATAAGAATTATAGAAAGCCAACCTCGTTTGTCCTTCAGCGGCGGCGCCACCGAAGGTAGAGACGTAGAGTGCTTGGCGAGGCAAAGATTGCAATCGAGAAGCATCTTCGCCTCAACGAAATCACCATCTCTCGCCGCCGCCAACACCAATCTCTCGCTGGACGCCGAACATCCAAACGAATTTCCCCATTTTTAACTCTACATCTCTCTTCTTCATATGAGAATGAAAATCTCTCTCTATCTGAAAATCAATTGGGTGTGAAAAATGGGTCAACCATTGTGGAAAGATACAGAGAGGAAAGAACGGGATTTGATATGAAGCATAAACTTACGTTTAATATATGTTTCTTCTTCTTCATTTTCTTCACGCTAAGATTCGAGAAATTCATTCGTCAAGGGGAAGCTCTGATAACAGCGATTCGTCTGCCACAAACTAATTTTTTTTTTAAGATGAATAGATTTGGGTGGTTCGTTTGCGGCTGGAGATGTGAGAAATTTCATGGTAAAAGTGGATTTATGAGATTGAAGATCGTGAGGATGAAGACGGTTTCTTAGATCGTGGAAGTTACAGAGAAAAAAAAACAATTTGAACAAAAAGAAATAAGAAAAAGTAAAAAACCAACGAAAAAAAGAAAAAAGAAATTTACAAAAGATATTTGGAAGGGACACGTGTCACTCATATAAGCCACGAGGTGACTTCACACTGTTCATAGGTCGCAGATCATGAGACATCTGTATCGGATGGAACAATTTTTAAACCATGAAACTTGTAGTTTATTCTTCACACATGGATTATATATTAAAAGAACAAAATTTTACTCTGTTAGCTCAAACCAAGCCAAATATTTCACATGTTACTACTACTAATACAAAATCTTTTTCAAGTTAAGATACCACTAATCAAAAGAATTGAAGTTAAATCCTTGAATCAGTTCAAAATTAGGCAAAGGCTCAACATTTTAAAAATTCCAAAATCCACTCGAGAAACATGAATCGAATACCTGGCGGCAATAGAGTAAACGTCGTTCACATCAGCTCCGTTCTCGAGCAACACTCCAATGATCTAATATGAAATAGAAAAAAAGATCATCAAATTGAAAATAAAACAATCTGTAAAGTCTGTGAAATAAGAATTATAGAAAGCCAACCTCGTTTGTCCTTCAGCGGCGGCGCCACCGAAGGTAGAGACGTAGAGTGCTTGGCGAGGCAAAGATTGCAATCGAGAAGCATCTTCGCCTCAACGAAATCACCATCTCTCGCCGCCGCCGACACCAATCTCTCGCTGGACGCCGAACATCCAAACGAATTTCCCCATTTTTAACTCTACATCTCTCTTCTTCATATGAGAATGAAAATCTCTCTCTATCTGAAAATCAATTGGGTGTGAAAAATGGGTCAACCATTGTGGAAAGATACAGAGAGGAAAGAACGGGATTTGATATGAAGCATAAACTTACGTTTAATATATGTTTCTTCTTCTTCACTTTCTTCACGCTAAGATTCGAGAAATTCATTCGTCAAGGGGAAGCTCTGGTAACATCGATTCGTCTGCCACAAACTAATTTTTTTTTTAAGATGAATAGATTTGGGTGGTTCGTTTGCGGCTGGAGATGTGAGAAATTTCATGGTAAAAGTGGATTTATGAGATTGAAGATCGTGAGGATGAAGACGGTTTCTTAGATCGTGGAAGTTACAGAGAAAAAAAAACAATTTGAACAAAAAGAAATAAGAAAAAGTAAAAAGCCAACGAAAAAAAGAAAAAAGAAATTTACTAAAAATATTTGGAAGGGACACGTATCACTCATATAAGCCACGAGGTGACTTCTGTTTTATTAGTATAAATAAGATTCCAGTTATTAGACTCATAATTACTGCAATTTAATTCCGGTTTATGTGTCAACCGATAAGAAATTGCAAAAGAGGAAAAGAGTGTAATCAGAGAAGACAGTGTGAAGAAGGTTGCAGCTTGTAAGCAACCCAATTTTCCTTAATAAAAATCAATCTCTCTCGGGAGAAGTAGAGTGAATCCACAGAGAGAGCGTTTTACCTCACGGAAACGATACCACTCTCTCCATTTCCAAATTTCCTGATTTCTCTCATCTACATGCATGGTAATTGGTAAGCATTTCTCCATTTTCTTTCCACAAAATTCGACTTCACTCGTCGCCTACAATTTTCGTTCTCGTCGATTTCGAGCTGATCGGATTTTGATTCTGTTTGATTTTTGTGTTTTGAATCTATTCCGACGCTTCAGTGGAAAAAACCCAAATTAAGTATGATGGAATCAGAAGAAGAAACGGCGGTATGCTTTGCCTCGTCTCTTTCTCTTCTCAGTTCTCACTCATTATATAGCATGCAAATGTACATTTGCTGCTAAAAAAATCGAGTACTGTGTTTTCTGAATTTAGCTGCGTCTTTCAATTGTAGGGGAAATTGATGAGTGGGCAGATTTGCCAGATCTGCAGTGACAATGTTGGGAAGACCGTGAACGGAGATCCCTTTGTGGCTTGTGACTTTTGCTCATACCCAGTTTGTAGACCTTGCTATGAGTATGAGAGGAAACACGGAAACCATTCTTGTCCTCAATGCAAGACCACATACAAGAGACTCAAGGGTACTACTTTTCATTCTCTTTGTTTCTTTGTTTCCTTAATCAGTTTGATCATTGTTACTGAAAAACATATATTATTGGTTTCTCTGGCTTCAGTTTACAAGACTGACGTTCTACCACTGAGCTATACGGGCTCCTTGACTTTCCATTTCCATTTTCATTTATAACAAGTGTAAAGAGCCATTGCGCGTTACATAGCTCTATTTGAAGAAACAGAGCAAACCATAGACCAAAACAATTTGTGTAAATTTATTATTACGTTCTTGTTTCTATTTATAAAACCGAAAGCATTACAAGAAGTCCAAACATAGCCACATGAAGTCACAAACGACGAGAAACTGATCAGTTTCCAGGATTGTTCCAAAGAAACTGAGCATCAACACGAGAGAGATCCTGATTATCAAGCCTCTTCCATGTCCTAATCGACTTCACACCTCCCCATTTCCCATCTCTGTTCTTGTTCAAATCAGCAACCACAACTCTCGCTCTCCGATCCCACCCAGAAAAACCATAAGCATGATACCCAGCTACACCACCGTAGCACAGATTCACACCTTTGAGCTCACCGCAAAAGTCGTTGTTATGGTCGTGTCCCACAAACACACCCTTCACATCTCCTCTACCTACCAAAGTCCTGAAGAAACCAGAGTTGGTTCTTGCCGATGACGTTGGCTCTAGCCTGTCTCCTTTTGTAGCGTTCTCTGAGTCGTTCATTGAGTCGAAAGTCCAATACTCCGGTAATGGAATGTGGAAGTAAGCAAGCCCCGGAGCCACACCTTCTTGAGCATTAGGCTCCGCGTTGTACTCCCTCTGAAGATTTTTTGAAGTGTTGTTGAACCAGAGTTGCTGAGAAGTTTTGATCCAGTCATAGCCTTTGATGGAAGGGACTTTGGAGTAATCTCCACTGTCGAGGAAGTAGAGATTTAGGAGGGATTTGTTCTGTAGGAACGAATCAGCAGCAGCAGCAGCAGCTCCGTGGACTTGGAGGTTGTAATTACCAAACCCATCGATGTAATGAGCAGCCTCGGGAGGATTCACTTGGGACAGAGTGTAGGGAAGCGTCACGATGTGTTTCATGAGTTCTTGTCGTGATAATGTAGATTCTTGATCGTGGTTTCCCAAAACAGCAACCCAAGGGGTCTTAGACGCAATCGCCGGAGCAAATGCAGCGTTCAAGGATTTCACTGGGTCCTTCACATGAGGCCCATAGATGTTATCACCTGAGAACGAAACAGAATCCCAAAATTCAATTCAATTGGTATAATTCAAATTAGGGATTTTTTAATTTGGGGTTTTTGTTACCGGTGAAGACGATGAGGTCAGGCTTCTCGGCGGCGATGAGTCGGGACAAGAAGGCGGTGGTGTTGAGGTCGGAGCAGTGATCCATTTGGGCTGGAAGGACATTGAGACACCGTGTGGTTGCGCCGTTTGCGAAGTGCATGTCAGCTACTTGCAGTATCTTGAACTCGCCGTTGGCATCGAACCTGAGTTTCCGAGGTTGTGCCGATGCCGGAATCGGAGATAAAAAGAGACATAGCAGAGACGCGGAGAGAAGAGAGATGTGGAACAAGCTCCTTCTTCTTCGATTGTCCGCCATTGTGATGTGGAGCTAGAGAGACGATAAGTGCCTTTGGTTTTGTAGTCTCTGTGAGTAGATGATAATGTATCAAAGAAAGTGTGAAGAAACTACAAGAAGAAGACAAAGGAGGAGACCATGAAAATTCAAAGGGAGTGACTTTAAAAAAATTCCAAAAAAGGTTTTACTTTTCGTCCTCTCGTTAAGTCATTTTAGGCGTGATCAATACTCTGGAGTTAAAAAAGTTTATATAAATGCAAAATCTTTTATGAATGATGTCGTCAATTATGTAAATTTGCAAATTATTATTATTATTATTATTATTTTTTTTTTTTGTCATTTAAAATTATATTGAAATTAGATAAATACATGGTGTTATACACCATCCAAACTTACACGACCACAACAACCACATAAAATACTAGTTGAAAATTTAATGATATCTTAAGGATGCGCACCACGTGGTTTACAAGACTGACGCTCTACCACTGAGCTATACGGGCTCCTTGACTTTCCATTTCCATTTTCATTTATAACGAGTGTAAAGAGCCATTGCGCGTTACATAGCTCTATTTGAAGAAACAGAGCAAACCATAGATGATGGATGGTTTTGCTGATGATTTTAGTTATAAAGAAAACCCACAGAAGGAGAAGATTTCAGAGAGGATGCTTGGATGGCATCTTACACGTGGTAAAGGAGAGGAGATTGAGCACTCTGACTCTGACAAAGAGGCCTCTCACAATCTCATTCCTCGTCTCACTAGTAGACAAGAGGTAAGGCATTACTGATTCTCCCTCTTTTCTGGCATTCACATCAAAGCCTATTGTGAATCTTGGGATCTGATTTTCTCTCTTGCTTTTATTGATAGGTTTCTGGTGAGTTTTCTGCTGCTTCACCTGAACGTCTGTCTGTATCTTCTATTACAGCTGGTGTAAAGCAGCTTCCTTATTCGTCTGATGTCAATCATTCACGTAATTACTCTTTGTTATACTGTTTAAACCAACTTGCATACATACTTAAAGGCTTCTAAATTTGGTCAACTCAAAACTCTGTTGTATTGTCCTGGCAGCAAACAGAAGGGTTTTGGATCCTGTTAGGGATTTTGGTTCAACAGGGTTAGGCAATGTAGCCTGGAAGGAGAGAGTTGACGGTTGGAAAATGAAGCAGGAGAACAAATCCGGTCCTGTGAGCACTCAAGCTGCTTCTGAAAGGGATATTGATGCCTCCACTGATGTCTTTGTTGATGAGGCTTTGCTGTGAGTACTAGTTTTGTTTTCTCTTTGGTCCTACAGGGTTCTTTGGAGAAAGATTCATTTTTTTCTTAGAATATGTTACTGTGCAGGAATGACGAAGCTCGGCAGCCTCTTTCAAGAAAAGTGTCGATTCCATCATCACGGATAAATCCCTACAGAATGGTTATAATGCTGCGGCTTGTAATCCTATGTCTCTTCCTGCATTACCGTGTCACAAACCCTGTGCCAAATGCATTTGCTCTGTGGCTGGTATCAGTGATATGCGAGATCTGGTTCGCCTTATCATGGATTCTGGATCAGTTCCCAAAGTGGTTTCCTGTTAACCGGGAAACATACCTTGATAGACTATCTTTAAGGTATGTTACATATCTCTCTATTTTGAAGTTGTAACTCAAGGAGTTTCCTGGTAATCCTTTACATGACCATAGGTACGATCGTGAAGGCGAACCATCACAGTTAGCCGCTGTGGACATTTTTGTGAGTACTGTTGACCCCTTGAAGGAGCCTCCTTTGGTGACAGCCAACACAGTACTCTCTATTATGGCGGTTGATTACCCTGTGGATAAGGTGTCTTGTTATGTTTCTGATGATGGTGCTGCTATGCTATCATTTGAATCACTAGCAGAAACATCCGAGTTTGCACGGAAATGGGTACCTTTCTGCAAGAAATATAATATTGAGCCTCGAGCACCAGAGTGGTACTTTGCTCTGAAAATTGATTACTTGAAGGATAAAGTTCTTCCATCATTTGTCAAAGATCGCAGAGCTATGAAGGTGAGTTTGTACTTTGTAGTTTAGTCATTCAAAACATACCCAATAACCTTTAACATGCTATAAATTTGGCAGAGGGAGTATGAGGAATTCAAGATCCGAATCAATGCACTTGTTGCCAAGGCCCAGAAAGTCCCTGAGGAAGGCTGGGTTATGCAAGATGGTACGCCATGGCCTGGAAACAACACAAGGGACCATCCAGGAATGATCCAGGTGAGAGTGTAATATTGGGATTGTAATATTGTACATTTTAAGCCCATTGTTTGTCAATCTTGTTTCCACTGATTGTCACTGAGGTAGCTTTTGTTGATTTCAGGTTTTCTTGGGACAAAATGGTGGACTGGACGCAGAGGGCAACGAGCTTCCACGTTTGGTCTATGTTTCTAGGGAAAAGCGACCAGGGTTCCAGCATCACAAAAAGGCTGGTGCTATGAACGCACTTGTAGGTTTTCTTATTGATGAATTTTGGTTTTGATTTTCTTATCTAATTTAGCAGCTGACTAGCATTCTCTCTTCATTTGAACAGGTTAGAGTTTCAGCAGTCCTTACTAATGGACCCTTTTTATTGAATCTCGACTGTGATCATTACATAAATAACAGCAAGGCCTTGAGAGAAGCAATGTGCTTCCTAATGGACCCAAACCTTGGGAAGCAAGTGTGTTATGTCCAGTTCCCACAGAGATTTGATGGTATCGATAGAAATGATAGATATGCTAATCGTAATACCGTTTTCTTCGATGTAAGCTCTGCACTTTCCACAATTAATGTCTGGATTTCGATCTAGCAAAAATGTCATCAACTCAGCATTGTTTTATATTTGCTGTAACCTTTCCTTGATGCTCTTCAGATCAATTTGAGAGGCTTAGATGGGATTCAAGGACCTGTATATGTGGGAACTGGGTGTGTTTTCAACAGAACTGCATTATATGGTTATGAACCTCCAGTGAAACTAAAACAGAAGAAAGCTAGTGTTTTATCTAGACTTTGTGGAGGATCAAGAAAGAAGGATTCCAAATCTAAAAAGGACTCTGACAAAAAGAAATCTGGCAAGCACACGGACTCAACCATTCCTATATTCAACCTTGATGATATAGAAGAGGGAGTGGAAGGTACAACTTTTTTTATCTCCTTCTCTTCCAGTTTCTCTATTCTACCGTTTTGTTGATCCAACGCTTTCTACTATTTTCACATTTTCAAAATCAGGTCCTGGTTTGGACGATGACAAGGCACTCTTGATGTCGCAAATGAGCCTGGAGGAACGATTTGGACAATCCCATGTTTTCGTTGCTTCTACCCTTATGGAAAATGGAGGTGTTCCTCCATCTGCAACTCCAGAAAACCTTCTTAAAGAAGCCATCCATGTCATTAGCTGTGGATACGAGGACACAACAGAATGGGGAACTGAGGTACTTCCCCAGTTCTACTCTCTTTTACACATAAGCGTTTCTTTCTATATCCTCTTCTGATCTATTGTTCTGCTTTCTGATGTCATTGTTCAGATTGGATGGATCTATGGCTCTGTTACAGAAGATATCCTCACCGGATTCAAAATGCATGCCCGTGGTTGGAGGTCGATTTACTGTATGCCCAAAAGACCAGCATTCAAAGGCTCTGCTCCAATCAATCTTTCTGATCGACTGAACCAAGTCCTCCGGTGGGCTCTAGGTTCAGTCGAGATTCTCTTCAGTAGGCATTGTCCAATCTGGTACGGTTATGGAGGGAGGCTGAAATTTCTTGAGAGGTTTGCATATGCAACACCACAATTTACCCAATCACCTCCATTCCTCTCCTCATGTATTGCACATTACCTGCCGTTTGTCTCTTCACCAACCAATTCATCATTCCTCAGGTTTTCTCTCTCTTTCTCTCTATCTCTTGAATGTTAGTTTTATCTCACTCTGATGATCCTATCTCTTTTTTTTTTTTAGATAAGTAACTTGGCAAGCATATGGTTTCTGTCTCTCTTTCTCTCCATTTTCGCCACTGGTATACTGGAAATGAGGTGGAGCGGTGTGGGCATAGACGAATGGTGGAGAAATGAGCAGTTTTGGGTCATTGGTGGAGTATCAGCTCACTTGTTTGCAGTCTTTCAAGGTCTACTTAAAGTCCTGGCCGGTATTGACACCAACTTTACAGTCACATCAAAAGCCTCAGACGAAGACGGTGACTCTGCCGAGCTTTACTTGATCAAATGGACAACACTTTTAATCCCACCGACGACTCTGCTTATCATAAACCTCGTAGGAGTGGTTGCAGGAGTTTCTTATGCTATCAATAGTGGATATCAGTCTTGGGGACCTTTATTTGGTAAGCTCTTCTTTGCCTTTTGGGTAATAGTTCACTTATACCCATTCCTTAAGGGTTTGATGGGTCGACAGAACCGGACTCCAACCATTATTGTTGTCTGGTCGGTCCTTCTTGCTTCCATCTTCTCCTTGTTGTGGACTAGAGTCACTGGACCGGACGTGCTGGTTTGTGGAATCAACTGTTGAGAATTGAGATGAGCGTTTTGGTCAACACATATAATAATGTTAATATTATCGGTGTTTTTCTTGTCCTTTGGTATGTGCAGTTTTTGTTTACTTTGTCAATATCAATGAAAGTGTAAAAAGGAAGCCTTAATGTGAACCCTAGCGTTTGCGTTTGACCTAAGGGATCAATAGATAACACGATTCCATCAGTTTCCATATGATCTCAAGAAAGAAACACACAAACAGTCATCGTCAATGAAAGCAAAGCATTTATTTGGCAGAAGAGTTTCAGAAAAACTGACTCAGACGATTACAAAATGACTTCTTAAGAAAACTGGATTCAAACAACGTCAAGGGTTCTTTGTAGAAAAGGAGTGAGTAACTTCATGCTTCAGAACCTGTGCTCCAATTTCTCCTGTTCCTGGAAATGCTGAGCATACCTGCATTCATTTGCATATTTGAAGATTAAGCACAGGAGATGACAAGAGAAACTAAGTAAACCATAATATGCAACACCATAATGCTTAGATGATGCATACACCAACAGTTTCGGACATACTGTTCTCCAGCAATTCATGGCTTCACGAGCAAGAACTCAACATAATGTAACGTTCATGAGGAAGGGTGATTATCGAATGATAATGACGCAATTAAGATTCTCAACACTTCACCAACAATTTTACATGGAAGACTTTTCTAGTCTCTTCACTGAAAACTCAATACTCAGTTTCAAAATCCAAACTCTCAGTTGAGGAATTCTAGAGTTGTTAACACATAATTCCATGGAGATTCACTGGTTCTAGCATCTAGATTAATACTCGTGCTAAATACTCTTCTAACGAAAAATACTTCAAACATTTCACAAGGCTACATCAACACAAATAAAGAAACCTAAATTCATTTGCAACACAAGCCGATGACATGAAAACCGCAAGCCATTTAATAACCAGATCGAAGAACAATCACATAATCACCAGATCGGAAATCTCCAAAGATTGTATTACCAATCGATGAGAATAGGAGAGGGAGAGAGAGAGATAGTACCAGTAGGTTCCGAGGACTGGAGTGACGAGGAGAGTGGCGCTGATCCAATTCTCCGTAACTTTGTGGTGGATCTTCTCCGGGAGATCCTTCCAGAGCCCGGTCATCACCTTCTGCTGAAACGGCGAAAGTGCGTAAATCACCGCCTTCAACTTCACCGGCTGCTTCCCCATTTCTTCTTCTCTTTCTCGACAATCCCAACAATTCACGATACGAGAGGAATCTCCCCAAAATCTGAATAACCTAAAATAAAACAATCTCAACTCGACGAAAGTTATGTTTCAATTCGATTTCGGTTCAGTTACAGTTACAATTTTAACCGGATGACCTGAGTCAAAACAAAATTGTTCATTTGCTTGGA